AGCGGCCTTTCCACCGATGTTGCTGGCAACAACCGACCGCCTCGTGCCCACTGCCCTCCAACATCACTGCTCTACCACAATCCAAAGCAAAACCATCAGCACTGATATGCACTACTTTACTTCCCAGCAGGACAAGAGCATTTGTGCCGCCTTTCTGTTAATTTTGCGTAGCACAGCAGGCCTAAGGAATAGTTGGGTTTACAGCATTAAGTACGGCAGTGTTCCCACCTTTGTTCAACAAACCCATTCTCTGTAATTAACGATTTCTGTGTTTAACTACAGATGGTGGTCTGTTCCCCAAGAGAATGAGTGTTGGCAGAGGGAAGCAAGAAGGTAGCGCTTTGCATTGTGTTGTTGGTGTCCACGTAATGTAATTACCTGATGAGAAATCACCAATACGTTCGCCAATCGTTCGAGCTCCATAATAACCGGTTCCAGTCGAGTAACTAAGTCCTCGTAACTCTAAAACTTGTGTGAATGATATTAGATCATTATCAAGATACTTCTTTCCAGGCCCATAACAGTTTCTCACATTACCACGAAAATATTCTTCGAAGGCGCATTTCGCAAAGTTGGCGCACTTCGAAGGCGAAAAGTCGATAAGGTCATAGGTAGAAGTGTATGTAGTTGTCGGTATACCCGTGGAGAAAAACCAGAGCTGCAGGAAGAACCGTTCAAAACACCCTGAGTAACGTCATCCCCACTTCCCAGCAGGAGGCGATGATTCATTATGACTTTTAGCAGGAAACCAGGCAAGAAAAAGCAAAAAAAACAAGATAAACAAGTCAATTGCGCTCAGGTTGGGATACTTGAAGGCATGGCGGTCCGCGATCAGGCATAGAAGTTGAAAATATGGTATCGGGAGGGTAGTGTGGTCCGCGACGAACAACCTTGTACCGGTTTCGCGGCAAAAAAAAAATTGTGGGGGGGCGCTATAACGTGATATAGGTTCAGTGACGCCTCCTTTTCTCCAGTGACTCCGCCTCCAGACTCCGCCTTCAAAGCCCGCCATTCCAGAAAAATGAAGCTGCTGGACGCAAAAGCATGAAAATGTCACTTGTACGGTCGTAGAGTTCTTATCGGAGAATCAGCTGCGCGGATGGAGTTCATTGGGCCTGTACAAGCTGGGATCGAAATTGGTTTCCATCGGGGCAGTTGGCACGTTTTTTTTTTTTTTTTTCTTAACAATCGAGTTCTTCAGCACCCCAGGTCACCTGACCTGAATCCCCTCAATTACCCGGTTCGGGCGGAGTTCAATAGGGTGGTCTACGGTGGCGGAGAAATCGACTATCTCGCTGATCTCAGGCACCACATCGCGGTCGCGTGCCAGAATCTCTCGATGGCGCTCGTCCAGAAGGCTGTGGCGGAGTGTCATGATAGTATTTAATATGCATATGGTGGTAGAAATGTCCGATCAGAATTCAATAAAGTGTAACTTATAGCGCCTCGAAAGTCAATGAAGGAAAGTGACTTTTTCGCCCCCCCCCCTGTAAAATTATGAAACCCTAATCCACTATCTGTGATAGCGAATGATCGCGGGCTTTGCCTTCAAGCAGCTTTATAATTCGATGCCAACACCTTACAACTTTCTGAAGAACTACTTGTGCAAGGTTGTCCACCTTTCCTTGCACACGTTTCTGATTCCTACAAGAAGCATATACCGCTTACACTTCATTATCTCTACTCCGCTATCCAATGCGGAATGTGCCTTCAAGGACTATCCTCGTAGCGTTGTGGAAATGAGCTTTTAAATGTGTCTAGAATATCGCATAGTAATAATGATGTGAATTGGTCATACCTCGCCACTCGGATACCTGTAGTGATACTTATCCCTGTCCCTCTCAGCAAACTGCTTCGGATAACGTTGAGCAAAATCGTTGTATGTCAGTCCTTCGCAGATACCCTGAAGATATGCAGTTTTACCCTTTGTTTCATTAATTACCACAATCTACGACTATTATGCTGAAGGTGAACTGCCGATAAGGGTAGCAGCAAAAATTCGAGTAAGACTAATGATTGCTAGGTTGGAAATAGCGTCACAACATAGTGTGAATGAAAGGCTGTATTCTGAAGCTGTAGGGAATCGTGTGGATAGGAAGACGCTTCTCGGTTAGGGGGGGACATATCGCAGTGGGGCATATCGCAAAACATCCTTGCGCTACTCCATGTTGGCTTTTAAGTCAGAAAATTCTAGTTCCTGAAAACCGGGTGTATACAGTACCCCGAACTGCTAAATGGCAGTGAGCCACTTGGTTTACTGGGGTTTACAGGTCTACACAAAATGGCTTGTAAAAACTTTGCTGAGTATCAATTTGTGCCTCCACAGAGCTGAAGTGCGCCACACAAGAAAGTCGTAGAACAAATTGCTCACTCCATATCGACGGTGATTTTCGACAACCCTCGAATGGAAGGTGAGCACCCGTGGAGGATGGATGGCCTGACCGACAAACGTGTACTGCCACACACAGTGACAAGGAAATTGCCAGAAAAGCACGAATGGGGAAGAAAGAATTTGACAAGCAGCAAAGCTGAGCTCATTCTGAACTCCATGGGATTTCTTGCGGAAAATGATAAGAAACATGTATGGCTGAGAACACCGACAAAAACGCTTGAAAAATGTGTTTTAATTGAAAATGACCGTAGGTTCTCGAAATCATCCCTCTAACACTTTCAGGGACTATCACCTCATTCAGCCTCTGGGAGGCTCTCAGCCAGTGAACAGGGAAAGCTATCAAAGAGAGTTCTAACATAGGTACTCACCGCATCAATTTCGTCAAGCACTTTCCAGTACTCGATATGGGAAGCAAGGTCCTCTAGTTGTTGTGCTGTTTGTACGGCTCGAATTCGTTGAGAAGACCATATTCGCAAATCGGTTAGATC